GATGCCCATCATCGCTTTTTCTGGACTCCTTTGTCAAATTCTTTTTCTTGCTACTGGGAACAATCCACACGGAGGCCAATATGACTTTCAGTTGATATTAATGCACCAATCATTCCTCGGGCACATTCCTTTACGACGACTTCAACATCAATTTACTTTTCGACAATCGCAGAAAACAGGTCTCTTATACCGGAAGTTCATTCATTAGATGAAGAACTATTAAAATAGGTTTGCTAGTTTCGATTTAATAACCCATTTTATGAGGTTTTTGTCATTTTTAGATTAAGCACGAAAAAAGGGCCTCAGCGAAGTTGGTTTACCCCCCCTCCCCCCTTGGAGATAAAGTGTTAAAGCAATCATGTGACATTTATTTACTTTGTAATGACAATGTTTCCAGGACATCCTAGACGTGACCGTGGTAGCTGCCTGTGGGCCCCCTGGAGGTGGCAGGAACCCGACCACACCACGGCTACTCAAGCACTTCTGGTCAGTTGAGACTTTCTGAGGGTTGTTTGAAAAATGTGAGGCAGCATGGTGAAGTCACACACTCGTGAAAATAATGAAAGTGAAGAAACTGTGGCATTTTCCCGCAGGTTTGGGAATTTTAATCGAATTTTTGTTTTTTGGCTCAACACCTTTCAGGTTCATTAAAGAACACATTTTTGTGTGGATTTTACTGAAATAAGTTGATTAGAGGCACACAAAAATATAAATTTTCTCTTTCCACGGACATTCTAGCTAAGAAAATAATTAAACTTTGGCGCCTATTTTCTCACTAATTGTACCTCTGTAACCAGACAACTCCCACCTCCTTAATCACTAATATCTCGACTTGTATCCAAGATGAATGAATCTTTTTCATCAAAAGCTATACAAATAAACAAACTTTAAGGTAATACAAATAATTCCACATACCCAAAAATTGATGAATGCCTGATTCCACTGTGCCGTGACACTTATATTGAAACAGCTTGAGAATGGGGAAGGATGGAGGGATGGATGAATGGAGAGCGATAGAGAGAGGGAGGAGGGGACGATAAAGATATCTATAGAGAGAGAAGAGAGAGAGAAAGAGAGAGAGAGAATGAACCATAGTGAGAGAGAGAGAGCAACTGTATTTGTTCATATTCGTACCACATCATTTTTGTCGAGAAATTGCAACAATGAAGACTGATATTTTCTGCAAGATGTTCAAATGTTCTTAGTCCAGAGAGCAACATTTTTCTGGGAGAGAAAAAGCTTTCATTCTTTTTGCAATTGCTCTTATAATCTATTGCTTTTTTCAACATTTGGAATTTCAACTTTAACAAAATATTTCTATATTATTTGCAGCTGATGCCACTTTTTAAAAAAAAACTGCAAAAAAAAACTGCAAAAAAAAAACTGCAAAAAAAAAGAAATTAAAAATGTTCTGACTAGTACATGCAAACAGCTGGTTAACCCTATCCATACGTCGTGTTTTACTATCGTATCCATACAACGTGGAGAACTCTGTGCCATCACTTTTCAAAGAGGAAATTCACTCATTAATACGATCGGTACCCTGTGCATAGCAGTCTGTCAACTGATTTTTTTTAGAAATACTGAAAGTTTCAAAGAGATCTTCGTACTAGAAGTATTCTGAAATGTGAAGAATATAACCCGGGGGTACAAAATGACCCCAGGGCGTACGGATAGGGTTAATGATATGTATTTCTCTTTTTCTGCATAGAGAGTTTACTGTTGAGTATGAATTTGCGCTATACAGTGCTATCTATCTATCTATTATTATCATCTGTTCTCTCTGTGTCCCCACCCAGCTTGTTCACACTGCCACAGCCTTCCACCAAGTCTCTGCAGCACATCTACCAGGTGCAGCTGGGACGTTTCCTCCAGGACGGCGAGTTCATGCCGGAAGTGATGGACTGTCTCTTCCCCCTTGTGTCCGCCAGCATTGCCGTCTACTACCACATGTGTGTGGTGATGCTGCCCACTCCGACCAAGTCACATTACACTTTCAACATTCGGGATTTGTCAAAGGTATGGGCATTCATGACTTTCATTCTGCTTTGCAGAGAATGATAAGTTTGATGTGAATGATGAAATCTTCAAATTTCAGGGGTGAGGTGTGCTCGCAAAGTTAATGACCTCCTTTCTTAGGTTTCAATTTTCTGAGCTTGTATTTTCATATTAACTTTTAATTTGTCTACTAACGTATGTGTTTGCATTTTTTGTGAAAAGGGATGGGTGACTTGCTGTTTACTGAAGCACAGCTTTGGTGGTTTTCATTTTTTCCAATTCTATTTCAGGATAGTTTTGGTATTGTGATAACCCTCCCCCCTCCCCCTCCTCTCTCTTCCCTCTCCCCCTCTTCCCCTCCTCCCTCTCCCCCTCCTCCCTCTTCCCTCTTCCCCTCCTCCCTCTCCTCCCCCCTCCCCCTCCCCCCAACCCTCACCCATAATCATGTCATCATAAGGAGCCAAACTCCAAAATGTTGTGTAGTAAAGTAAATCATAATAGTACTTCAAAACTTCTCTGCAGCACATGTTCATCTGCACCCTCACAATGGAAACTGATCAACAGTTTTTATGACTGTAAAGCATTTAGAAATGGCCTTGATTCTTATGTGAGTCTTACTGTTGTAGTTTGTCTTCAATTTTCAGCCTATAGATGTCAGGTGAGCCTGTGCATTTTGTTTCATCCAACCTCAAGAGTTGAAACACAATTTTAGATGGAATTCACATGCCTTTTTCTTGATTGGTCTTTTTCCATTCATGTTTTCTTGTTTCATATGAGTTTTATAAAAGTGTCATATTCCAATTTCCTAAAATTTAAAGGCCTTTTGTTCAAAGATTTTAACTAAAATTTTATTAACATGTTTAGCTTTTCTATAATTCATTCATCCTTCATTAGCAGATAAGTTAATGATATGGTTCAAAATTACACTTTCATTTGAAAGTGCTTAGATTATTGCGGCAGTACATGTTTTTATTAATGACTCAGTACAGTAATACAGGGGCAACCTCATGAGTAGAAATGCATACCGACTTTTTTGTGTCGTTATTGAGATGATGATGATGATCGTCAAGTAAATATTTTTCAAGATTACCTTTTCTGACGATATCTGTGCACAAACTTTTCTTTCTCACTCCCTGCCAATGGTCAACAGGCATGTCTTTGATCTTTTTCTTTTTTTCTAATGCACTTGGAATTGCAAGATTGTTTAGATGTTAGTATTGGCAAATTGTTAAGTGATGCCTGAAGACTTCATTTTTTTTGTGACTGAATGCTGATCTTTCTATGGATGCTTCACCAATGACAAGAAATTGTTCACTGCTCTTGAGATGAACCAGTGTACTAAACTTTGCTTTCCACAAACTCTTTTTCGACCATGGTTTTTTTTTCTTATTTTTATATTATTGCATTTTGCTTGTTTTTTTGCAATAAGCATTTTTTAAAGTTCCTTCTCTGTGAATTCTCAAGTCTCAGATGTGTTAAAAGAATCACTTTTCTTTTTTGAGCAAGTTTGTCTGTTTATGAACCATAAAATGACTCTGCTTCTTTATGAAAAACAGCTCTAGATATAAAGCCAGGTAAAGGATTCATTACTTTGGTCTTATTGGCCAAGTAAAGATTTTTTTTTACCTCAACTCTTTTCAATTTTGTCTTGCATAATTTAGCTGGTTTTTCTAATTGCATGTTTTGTTTTCGCATCCTCTTTATCTTCTGCATGGTGAACAACTGCAGCATTTCGATGATCTGCTGTGCATGGAATTGTTACACTGTCTTTCCTTACACGCATGGCTGATTTGTTTCATCATACTATCTTGACATTGGTCAAAATTTGTACTTAGGGGCAAAGTTAGTGTTCTATAAGTATAATGTCTTCCAGCTTTTAGTCTGAGCATATGAAAGCAGTGAGAAAAGGATCCAGACTGGGTTGTGTAAGAGGTTCAGTACTTCGATTCTCCAATCTTCTCGACCTACTCTTTCTGTAGCCTATCTGTTCTTAAGCACTTGCATGGATAATTGTGGATTGAAAAGGAGGAGCTTGTGTGTGTGTGTCTATGTGCGTGTGTATGTGTGTGTGTGTGTGTGTGTGTGTCTATGTGTGTGTGTGTGTGTGTGGAGGGCGGGGAAGGGGAGATGTTGACTTTGCTAAGGCAGAACCTGTAGCTAATCAGTTTCTTTATTCATAATCAATCATTATAAAAAACATCCACTTTAAGATGCCACAAATATAAGCTCAAGAAACATAACACATTTGAAAGTCATTGACATTAACTTCATATAGTTATTGACTTTTGGCGGATTTCATGTAAAATACTATAAGTGTGTTAATTAAAACTTCTCATTGGAAAGAGCCTGATTCCCTACAGACTTTCTATTTATGATGTGTTTTGATAAAACAGGTTGCTTCTTCAATGTGCAGGTGATACAAGGTCTCCTGCAAGCCCATGACACAGTGGTGATGGGCAAAGACAACTGTGCACAGCTCTTTGCACACGAGACGACACGTGTGTTCCACGATCGACTGATCAACACAGAAGACAGACAGACCTTCTTCCAGATTCTCTCTGAAACATTGCATGATTATTTCAAGGTAGTATTTCCCCCATATTCACGAGGCTTGTGTTACTGAGTAAATAATTCTCTCTATCATGATCATGTGGTGTTAGTTTGAAGCACACAGACTACAGGGTTTCAGAGGATTAGAGGGAATACTAGCAGCCAAACACCTTACTTAGATTTTGAACTGTTTTTTCTTATCTTACATCAACATGTGCAACATTTGTATTCTTTAAAATCTTCTTTCTCAACTGAATTCTAGATATATTCTTTTTATACTCTTTGATTCTGTTGATGTAGATTAGCCTTCTAGACCGAAATGCTTATTTGACTCTTCTGGACACGGGACACATGCCTCAGCATCCAGAGTTGTAAAGCTATCGGTATAGACCCAGAAGTGCTCAGTGGTTTGGTTCATCCTGTAGGCTTAGGGTGCTAGGACTCAACAGGCCAAAAAGCCCAGTGTGTAAGAAGTCAAGGCTGTTTTTCAAAGAGGTGGCAATGCAAGCAGTCAGCAGACAGACTATCATTTTTGTCTTAGCTTTCAGAGAAACAAAATCTTTGAGCAGATATTCTCATTTTATACTATTGTGTCACTTAATGAAAATTAATTAATTTTTTTTCTCTTTCATGTTGAACTATTGGTCTTTGCTAAATGAAACTAGGTCAGTTGGTATCAGGCTGGATAATGGAATGGATTTCGCTGGTTCGAATCCCTAATGCGGCTTTCTGATTTAGAGTTGTTTTGTGGAGTTTTTAAGGCTTTCCACCCATTTGGCTCTGTCCTATTAGAGATTGATGTCAAATTCTGAGGTCCTGCTTGTTAAAGAACCTTACAATGTTGAGAGGGGCATTAACCCTATACCATACCACTAATAAATTTTCTCTGCCAAAATTGGTCTCATCAACCAAAGCGGAAGCCACAAGTCATTGTAACCTTTAATTGTTCAAATTCTTCTATTTCAATTGAGAAATATTCTCCGCTGCGGATGTATTGGTCATCATCAGACATTAATGGAGGAGCTATTATTATTTTCTCTCTCTCTCTCTCTTGCCCTTTTTAATTCCCAGTGGAGCACAGGCCATCAACAACATTACTCCAGCGAAGCCTGTCCTGAGCATCCTTTTCTAGCTGTTTCCATGATGTCCCCGCTTTTTCAATTTCCCCTTGTACCGCTCGTCTCCATGTCATCTTTGGTCTTCCCTTCTTACGTTTTCCGCTATTATTATTAACAATGACTAATTGATATCTTGCCTTTTTGGTTTCAGGTGCGTTGGACTCCACAGAAGCTGGTGGAGGAGTCTGTTGTGTTTGGAGATTTCTTTGACATGAACGATCACAGCAACCAGCAGCGAGTGTACCGCCCGCTGGCTGACCAGAGTAAACTTGTACGTGTGTTGGAGGAGTACAACATGAGGATGAGTGCCGGAGAACAGGTTTGTGAGAAGGAAAAGTTTTTTGGGCAATTGAAAATGTAATTTATGTATAGAAAGTATGTCAGGTGTAATTTATGTACTGAAAGTATGTCAAGCGAAATTTTTGCTTCCTACTGAAGAAGGCGATGCAGGTAAAGATATTGACAGCTTCTTGTTTATTTGTCTTTAAAGAAATTTAAACAAACAGATGATGGATTGATAGACTGCTTGAAAAATAGATTGATGTGGAGAGAGAAAACAGGTTGAAGAGGCAAACTGACCTGACAGACAAATAAATTGATGGATCTATGAAAGGATGAATTGTTAATGTATGTGCAAGAAATTTGGGAGGTGGGTAGGTTTCAGCGAGCTGATATGAGTAGAAATGTAATTAATTACCTTTTGGGCTACAACTTTTAACATGTCACAGGTCCTTGATCTGCCTGGGATCACAAAATAGCTGACTTGGGTCAGTCTTGGTCTTGACTCAGTTTGACTTTAAAACGTTTCCTCACATCTTTTTTATCTGGATAAAAAATTAAAAGTAATTATTCAAGGGTTTAAAGAGACCTTATGGAATGACTAAATCAAGTTCTTTTGTAAGATTTTTTAAGGGAATGTACAAATAATTTGTTCTGCTCTCTGCCTTTCTGTGGTAGCTCTTGTAAGCAGAACGCCATGTTATCTGTCCTGGATCTATTTGCTTGAAATACACATTCAGACTCTTGATACACTTTTTTTTCTGAGGAACTAGAGGCTTTAGTTGATGTAAATTATAAAAGTATTATAAGTGTAGATCATTTAGGAGGCAAGCTGCTCTAACCTTGCCTGTCAGGGCAAACCCAGGCTATGAGGGACAAAACCCCATTTTAATCTGACACAAAGAAGTTATATATAAAGATATAGCTCATGGCAGTGATGTCACACATCAGACATGGGGGCTGTCCCACCCTCATAGGCATGGCTGGGGCGCCCCCCATCTACATGACCAATCTGAGCCCACACCCTGCTCCCTTCGAGCTTTTGTATAAATAACACCACCCAGACCCCATATTTCAGTGCAAGATTGTAGATTTCCCCCTTAAACCACTGAGACGCCTCCACGTGAGTCTCAAAAAGTACTCACTCGTCTGTTGAACTGCGCATGTCTTGCCTTTGAGGTTCATGTCAGTGTCCCAGTGTGGGCACACACAGCCCCTGTTCGTTTACATATGGGATATCACTGCTCGAACTCTAGTACTAAATTTAACCTCTTTTAAGTCTGACAGGAACTCTCTGTATGTACCTTTGTAAACCTCTTTGTCTCTCACAGAAAGAACAGCTGGTTTTCTTCAAAGATGCCGTGGAGCATGTGGTGCGAGCTGCGCGAGTGTTCCGACAGCCGGGAGGTCACCTCATGCTGGTAGGTCCTGGGTACACAAGGATGTTGAGTTTATGGGCCTGTGTACATTGTCATCTCAAACACATTACATTTTGATACATCCTCTAGAGAGACTCTGTACCACCATCTGAAATCAATGTGATCTTTAAGTGCAGCCTGATAATTGAATTTTTATATATTGAAAATTTTGGGCTAACTTATGATATATTTTGGTTTGTGGCTTTTTTGTTGTACAAAAGTAGATTTTCATGAATACACAGTGCAGTGAACGTCTGTCTACTTTCTTTATCTAGTCTATTGAAACAGTTTTGTTAATAAATCGTCTTTCCTCCCCAATTTTACCCTCTGCATAATTTGTTAAAGAAAATGTTTTTAAAAACCCCAAAACTATTTGCTTGTTTCAGGTTGGACTTGATGGCACAGGTAAATCAACCATCATCCATTTGGCCAGTTTCATCGGCAACTGTGAGATGTTCCGCCTCAAGCTTCACAACCAGTATGGCATGGCTGAGTTCCGCGACGACCTCAAAGTTCTGTTTGTTAGGGCAGGGGTCAAGGGCATCCCAACAGTGTTCCTGCTGACGGATTCAGACATTGTTAAGGTGAGTGACGATGGAAATGGATTATGATGGATTGTCTTTGAAAAGGGCTTTTTTATATGGAGAGTGGTCGGTGTATATTACTTCTTAAAGAAATGTATGAATGTGGTAGGCTCATAATCTGTTCCAAGTGGGTGAAGCTGTTCATCTATTGTAGACATTCATGAATGGCAAGAGGTGAGGTTTTGGCATCAATTGGAGTTTATTGACACTTGCTCGTATGCTTGCATGCTCACAAAAGCACACAGAAACACTAACTCACATATCCCCCCCCCCACACACACTCACACACACAAACACACACTCTCATACACACAAACAAACATAATATGCACTTCTTTACTCTCACACACACACACACACACACACACACATACACACACGCGCACACACACACGCACACACACACACACACATACACACATACACAAACACTCACACACACACAAACACACAACAAATAACACATTAGTGAAATCTCTCCTTTTGTTGGAAGTGAAATGAAATAGACTAGATCAAGAAAGTAGACAGATGTCAGGTGCACTGTGGATTCATGAAAACCTACTTTTGTGCAACAAAAACGCCACAAATTTGTCTGCCCGTTCTCAGGAATCCTTTTTAGAGGATATCAACTGCATTCTCAACTCAGGAGAAGTGCCAGATTTGTTTGACAATGAGGAGCTTGACGGCATCACCATGGAGCTGAAGTCTGCTGCCAGTGAGGCAGGTGTGCCGGACACACGTGCGTCCGTGTACGGATTCTTCATCCAGCGGATTAGGCAGAAGCTTCATGTAGTGCTTACTATGAGTCCTGCTGGTAAGTGTATCCCTCCCCCTAGCCCCCTCTTCCCTCCTCTTCCCTTCTCTCCCCTCCTCTCCCCCCTCTTCTCTCCTTTCTCCCCCTCTCCCCTCCTCTTCCCCTCTCTCCCCTCCTCTCCTCCCTCTTCTCTCCTTTCTCCCCTCTTCCCCCCCTCTTCCCACCTCTTCCCACCTCTTCTACCCTTCTGTATGTGGGGTTGGGAATAATAACCAGACTGGTTGACGGATAATGAGAAGGAACCACACTTAAAAGATTCTGGGTTGTTGTTCCTTGTCCTTCAACCTTTTTCTTTTCTTTTTTGTGAAGCTTTTAATGGATACAAAGATTCCTGATTTTGAAATGGCCTATTTTAGAATAAGGGATGTCGAGTAAAAATGTTTTACATTATTTTTGCAATGTACAGGAGGACTAACAAAGCACCCACTCCTTTGTGATGTGGAACATCTGTAGTTTATTATAGTTGTCTTGTTGTTGCATGTTCGTGGTGCATTAAGTATGCCTTATACTTATACTTGTGAGGTAGTATTTTTTCTCTCTCCCTTTCTGAAATATTTTATCTCTTTTGAGAACTTTGGAAGTGACAGGCGCCAGTGAAAGGAGTTTTTGCTATGTGAATAACTTCACCATTCCCCCCCCCCCCCAATAGGGCCTTAAATCCCAGTTTTAAAAAATCAAGTTAAATATTTATTTGTTTAAAGTTTTAAATTCAGGCTTTTGGTTTATTATGAGATTCATAACATGCCTGTTTGTTGAGATAATAGACCATTGTTTGGAATATTGTCTTTTCATCATAACTAAATGGAATAGGAAATTTCAGTCATTTTTCAGGTTTGTCATAGGTGTTTTTCCCCTGTGACCTGCCTGATATATTTGCAATGTCTTCTTTTATTGATCCATGGCCACTGCAATCAGGAAATGTATTTTTTAAAAGAAAGAACACTTTGTGTTTTAATGTGTTTGCGACAATCACATCTTTTCAGGGGATATATTTCGGCAACGATGCCGCATGAACCCAGCTCTAATCAACTGCTGCACCATTGACTGGTTTGATGAGTGGACAGATGAGGCTATGCTGAGCGTGGCCGAAGTTTTCTTTGCTGATGTGGAGTTCATAGCAGATGAGGCTCGCTATGATAAGGAAGTGAGTATATCCAGTAGAGACGGGTATGAGAGTGGTAGAGATACTTGATTACAGCAATAGCACGGCATGGCTTTCTCTGACAAATTTCACCTAGCGGTTTCATGACGGCTTTTCAAGGGTGTATTTGTCAAGCCAAGATGCACCCATTATGGTCCCTCCATTTCTAATGCCCCCCGAAAAGACTAGACTTACTAAAATGCTTGACAAAGAAAGATGCAGAAGGTCATTTTTGCCATCGTCCATCAAAATGCTTCCATCTCAACCATCTTGTATAAGTATTCTTACGACCTTAGAGCCTGCATCAGAATAACATTGAGTGTGTATTTTGCTTCAGATTATTATTGTTTATATTGCTGCTCATTTATATTGTGCATGTGATTGTAAGCCTGCGTGTGTTTGTATATGTGTGTGTGTGTGTGTGTGTATGTGTGTTTGTGTGTGTGTGTTTGTGTGTGTGTCTGTGTGTGTTTGTACACGTGGTGAAACACCAAACCAAAGTGCCAGTATCTGGACAATAAAGATGTATCTTATCTTATCTATCTATGCTTCTTCTTAAAGCACTGTGAGACTACTACTGTATCTTGGGCACAAATGCTCAAACTTTGTTAAACAGTTTTCTTACTAGTCATTTTTTTTTTCTTGCTTACTCAGCAACTTTCAAACAAGTCCGTTTTCTCAATCAGGCTCTGAAAGACAAGGTGGCTCAGATCTGTGTGGACATTCACAAGAGCATTGCTTCCATGAGTGTGCGGTTCTGGGAGGAAGCCCGCAGACGCTACTACTCCACTCCTAGCTCTTACATGGAACTTATCAAGCTGTATTCCAAGATGCTAAAGGACAATAAACGAGAGTTTATGAGCAACAGGTAATCACCTGCTTCAAAATCAGAGAAATATATAAGTACTCCTTTATCCCATCTTCTGTCAGATTATCGTTATGCGTGAATGTTATGAGTGCATTTCTGTAAGGATACATAATTCTGAAGGTTGATGTTCAGGCATATTCACCCAAAATTTTCCTTGTGGATTAATTAAGTTTAACTGATCGTATCTCATCTTATCTTGTCTTATGCCTAAGGTACTGCAAAGTGCACCAATGCCTTTTTAGTATCGTATTATCTCTCTTTTACTGAATCATATTCAGAATTAGTTGATACCTCAAAGGATGAACATGCTTATATACTCTCCTCTCTTTTATGCTCAAGGTCAATGCGTGTATTGTACATATGACACAGACATGTATGGCCAAGTCATTCTTATACTGGTTTGTTCCAATTATTGTTCTTTGCTACATTTCAGGGACCGGCTCCAGAATGGTTTGACCACTCTGTCCAATGCATACTCTATGGTTGGAGTTATGCAAGATGAGCTTCGAAGCCTGGGTCCTATCATTGTGCAGAAGACGAAGGTATGTTCATTTTTTTAAAAAGTAGGACATGGATTTTTACAGCTGTGACTGGTTTGTGTGTCAGTTGATGTGGAGGTACAACTGTAAGTATTAACGTTCTGTTTTTGCCTGTTCCAGGACACAGAGCTATTGCTGAAGCAGCTGGAGGAAGACCAGCAAGCTGTGGAGGAAGTACAGGAGATTGTCTCTCAAGAGGAAGCCATCATGGCCAAAGAAACTCAAATTGTGCAGGACTATGCTGATGTAAGTTTCGTTCTCCTAGTTTCATTTGTACCCCCCCCCCCCCCCCCTTTCCCCTCTCAGCATATTTGTTTCCGAAGAAAATTGAATGTACATTCCTCGAACCTCAATACTTAAAACATCAAATCTCTACATACATAAATAACCCATTTTCTTACCATAACAATGTAGTGTCATTTGCTTCTCGGATAGCACAGTGCTTTTTAAAAACTCAGACTCTTTTATTTGTACTTTCCACAGATTTTTCAAATTGTGGATTTGAGGATAAATTTAGAATTTTGCTGAAGCAGAGGGCCTAATCAATCTCTTTGTCTCTGACTTTTAGCAGATAATCTGTATTGTGTACGTGAAGAACATCTGCAATCTGTTGTCCTTATCTGAGAAGAATAATCCGTCCCACCTACCCTAGAGATAGGTTTGGGAAAACTCAGAGAAACAAACTAATATTATCCAGGCTTGCCTTCCCTGCATGAACTCAGGAATATTATTTTTTTTAAATTGTACTTCACATACGCAAATCAGTTGCATGTCTTAAAATCTAACGTTTTGCTCCTCTTGTATCTTTCAGGAGTGTGAAAGTGATCTGGCCTCTGTTTTGCCAGTTTTGCAAGCAGCTATAGCATCTTTGGAGACTTTGGATAAAGCCTCAATATCTGAAATTAGGTAATGCTCCATTTTTGTACTAATCACTTCTCGAATTGGTTTATATATTTATTGACATCTTTCAATTACAGTTGATCCCCTAGGCAACTGACTTCATGAAAATTGAAAAATGAAGCTACTAAGAAGGAACACATGATGCAACATGTTGGCAAGAGTCACTGGTTTGGTGTGGTCAAGTTCCTCAATTATTTCTCTTTTCTCTTGAAACTTAAAAATAAAACCAACTTAGTGTATATCTAGGCCTACTTTGTTTTTAAAAAAATACTTTTCCCCAAAAAACAACCCCGCACAACTCTCCTTGATGCTTGGTGTTGAAACAGAATAAGAATGAAGATAATATCTGAAGGAGCTAGGAAATATTTTCAACAAAAGAGTTAAATAGACATGAAAGAGTAGGAAGGAAAACATTTTTAGCCTAGAGAGGAATAGCAGGTAATCCTAACAAGTAGAGGATTTGAAATAGAAGAAAGAAAAAATAAAGAGAGTTTGAGAGAGAGAGATGGGGGTTTGAGAAAAACAGAGAGAGAGGTAGAGAGAGAGAGGTAGAGAGAGAGAGTTTGACAGAGAGAGAGAGAGACAGAAAGAGAGAGGGAGAGAGAGAGAGAAAGAAAAAGAAAGAAAGAGTAACAGGGAGATCGAGAGAGAGTGAGATCGAGAGAGAGAGAGATCGAGAGAGATAGAGAGAGAGAGAGACAGAGAGAGAGAAAGAGACAGAGAGAGGTGGATGGATGGACAAACTGACACATGTAAAAAATTTCTTTGTTGCTTTGATGTAGTTGTAGAAAAACTGTCCAATGATAAAAGATTTGTCCATTTCCAGGAAGCATTTCTTTTAATGAGAGTTTGCTTTACCAATTTACTATAAATATCGTGTTGTTGTCTAGTGGTAAGTAGTGCTGTGTGATTTTGAGTTTTTTAAAAAATCTTCGAAGCACGATGTCGCTATTCGTGCTATTCGAATACCGTGTGTTAATAATTATTTTAATTATACCTGTACATGTAGGCCTAAGGCGAGACCAAATGCGGGGAGTCTATCAGCAGCATTTTTTACTGAATATTCACTATTCACAGTCATAGCACTTTTCATCCAATGATTCTCAGGGGTTTATATATATATGATTATTATAATTATTGCTTATTTTATGTTCACATGGTTGTGTCACTCTAAAAAGTTCCCTAGGTCAGAAAAAAAAAACTGAACTGGAATACTTTTGTGTTCTCTCAGGGTGTACACCAAACCACCACAGCTGGTTGCCACGGTGATCGCTGCTGTTTGCGTCCTGTTCCAAAAGAAGCCAGACTGGTCCTCGGGCAAACTGTTTCTGGGTGACCCACAGTTTCTGAAAATGCTCCTCAACTTTGACCGCAACAACCAGCCAGACAAGGTACGGCAATAGGGGTTATAAACGGCAATAGGAGTTATAATCACAGTGATAGAGTGAAAACATGCTAGGAATGTCTTGTTGCCCTATCATCATCCAGTGCCAGATCTGCGACAGAAATCGGCGATCATGGTTCTCCATTCATTCCTTTGCTCGGATGCTCTCAAAAAAGCTTTGTTTCCCTGATCTGTCCCTGTTACCCTTTTGTTTAGGTTCCCTAAGTGTGTTGTTCTGGGCCTACTCCTGCCTCGTTTGCCTTCAATTTTGTCAGTGAGAGCTACATGTTCAAGACCCTTATGTCTATTCAGGTGTCCCAAAAACTGCATTTGTCGTTTCCTGTATATCCATGTTAAATCCAAGCTCATCCAAGGGCAAATAGAAATACTGTCTCGACTGTTCTAGATAGCCATTCCTTGTTGAGGAGGAAAGTGGTTGTCTTAGTCAGATGGATGTCTTGGACAGTATCATTACAATATAAAAGAGAATGCAAGAGGGAAGCAGGAAGTGGTCATCTGCACAGGTGACTGTCTTGGACATGTGGCCGTTACAGCATTATCTAATGAATGTCATGAAGTCAAAACTTTTAAATTTATGTTCTTTTTTAAATGGGTTGTTGTAATAGATATTGTCTTCAGCCTGCCTCTGTCATTTTCATGTTTGGTAATGGATTGTGGTAGTGTCAGTAATGGTAAAGCCATCTCCTAATGTTGCACAGAGTTTAGAAGCTAGACTTGAGTGCTGAGCGACTGATATATAGTATGAGACCAATATCCAGACTGTTATTTTCAATATTGTCTCCTGCTTCTGCAAAGATAAAAAGTCTTGAGGTCTTGGATAGACCTTAGTGCTCTGTAGCCATCCTAAAGAGAGAAGACAATTGAATATTTGGGGATCCAGTGGCTAAGTGAGCTGTGAGTTCAGACTCAAAGTAATGTCAAGCAACTGTCGGTGACACAGCAGGGCTTAGATGGGTGGTCACTGGGGTGTGTCCTTGAGCAAGACACGACAACCCTAGCTCGAAAAACGGGGTGCTGCACAGTGGTGAGCAGCAATGGCATGTTTGTGAAATTGTTCTGTATTGGTGTAATATTGTGTATTTATGTATGTATTTGTATGCATTTTAAATTATGTTTGTATTTATGTTTGCCATTGTAACCCAAATTTCCACATAGGAATGAGTGAAATGTAATTAATTTATCTTAATTTATTGATCTATTTATGTATTGAACTTTCACGACAGGTTTATACAAGGCTCAAAAAGTACACCAAGGATCCAAACTTCAACCCTGAAGCTGTAGGCAAAGTGTCTCTGGCCTGCAAATGCATCTGCAGTTGGGTATTGGCCATAGACAACTATAACACAGTTTACAAGGTGTGTGGCGTGCCAGCTTTGTGCTGTATCATATTCCTGATATATATTATACTTCTCGCAGTATAGGATTTATATGTTTATGCTTAGCATGGTTATTCTTTGTTGCTGGGATTGGAGAAGGTGGTAAGGGACAGGCAAGTGTGGTGTTGACCGCTCTCTGCCCTATGTACCCGATATTATAGGGAGAGAGTCACTTGTAAATATTTAAATCCTTGTTGGATGGTGGGAAAATTTACAATTGCAACAAGAATGAGGCTGGCCTCACCTTGTGTATTCTTCTCCGCAGTGAGGGGTGGGGGTTGGGGGGGGGGGGGTGGTGTGGAAGCTCAATATATAGGCCTAAGTTCAAGGTTTATTTGCTATACACATAAGTATTTGAAACTCATTTTAATTTATGGTTAATTTATTTAATCACCAATTTAAGTAAGTTTAGGCCCATTAAATTTTTAAAAAAAGAAAAAAGTGCATAAATTGAAGCCAAACTAAAGATCCTTCCTTTGTGTCCTTTCAAAATGTGGCATTAAGTTCTTATATATAAGTACATTTTAAAAGAATAGATTTAATTAAACAAACATTTTTTATAATGATGGGAGTTTGAGAGCTAAGTAACAAACAATACACCTTTTTCCATTAAGCATATCTTTTAAAATATGTCACTTCCCTTATCAATATCTTTTTCTCTTTTTCATTTTATATTCATCTCTCTCTCTCTCTCTCTCTCTCTCTCTCTCTCTCTCCCCCCCCCCTCTCTCTCTCTCTCTCTCTCTCTCTCTCTCTCTCTCTCTCTCTTTCTCTCTCTCTCTCTCTTTCTCTCTCTCTCTTTCTCTCTCCTTCTATCTTTTTTTCCCCATTCTTTAATTACATTTCTCCCTATTTCAGTCTTATAATGTATGTCCACTTTCTATTGATTAGATGGTCAAGCCAAAGCAGAGACGGGTGCAAGACGCCAAAGAAGCACTGAAACTGGCCCAGGATAGTTTAGCTAAGAAGCAAGCTAGTCTGAGGAAGGTAAGACAGTACCCTATTAGATTGTAATATACACCCTCAGATAGTCCATAACAAAAAGACTCATTCAGGCTTCTTCTAAAGATATGCATGTTTGAATGTTTGCGAACACTTGTCTTTTTTTTTCATAACATAATATATCTAGCAGGCATAATAATTATTACTTGCTTCATGAGTGGAACAAGGACTGAACTCAGAATTTCTTGAATTGATCTCAGATCCAAACTCATCTGGAGCTGATCCAAAAGCAGTACCAGGACAGCGTGAACCAGAAAGAGGCACTCATTGAGAGGCAGCATGTCACAGGTCTGCGTCTCCAGAGAGCCGGGGTTCTCATCAGTGCCCTTGCTGATGAAGAGGTAAGTCATTTGCGTTGACTACTTTTTGTTTTTGAACTTAAAAAAAACATTTGTAGGGTTTTTTTTGGTTTTGGAGGGGATTACAGTGCCTGGGATAAAGGGACACTTAGAAATTGCTTTGCTCTATAATTTCTGTACTAACTATCCCTTTTTGCCATATTTTGAGAAAAGGGCTTGGGAATTTTCTGGCCACCACATTCGAAAAGTAATATCTTCCATAACTCTTTATCTCCGACAAGCCGCTCCCATCAACTCGCGGTCGGAACTGCTGTGCCTGTGAGCGGCTGACAGCGGCTCGGGCACATTCCTTTACCACGACTTCGACATCAATTTATTTTTCGGCAATTTTAGGTTTGCTAGTTTCGATTTAATGACCCATTTAATGACGTTTTTTTATCATTTTTAGATTTAGTACCAAAAAAGGGCCCCAGCGTAGTGGGTTTACCCCCCTCGGAGATAGAGAGTTAATTCTCTTCATAAAAGCGATGATGTTTTGAAATTTTTTTTAACTCTTTATCTCCGAGAGGGGTAAACCCACTATGCTGGGTCCCTCATGTGGTACAAAATCTTAAAGTGACATATACGGCACTAAATTGGTCATTAAATCTAAAGAAGTGAAGCTATAGTGAAGCTATTTTGATCGTTCTTCATCTTATGAGTTAAGTCGCTGTAAAAGAGACCTGTTACCGAAAAATAGTTTGACATCAAACTGAGACTGTTGGCGCAATTTCCAAGAATAAATTTGCTGTATTTATGTCATTTATTAATATCAATATGCCAGTTATGCCTCTGAATTATCAAGGACTTCCTGGTGTCAATATCTGTCTATCAAATGTGACTGTGTAATAATCTGAAAACTCTTGATATACCTATGCGGGGATTCTTAACTTGATAGGAGTATTTTCATATCCCTTATTTCAGCAACAGTATTCATTTTTTTATGAATGTAATGGGTACACAGTTTAATTTCTGTATATTGTAACATATTTCCATACTGCTCTCAACCAGTCACTGTACTTTCTTCTCGTTCTAACTTTCTTTGATGTAACAGTGCCTCTTCTATTTGAACCCACATAGGGCTCTTTCTCCTCCTTACCATGTCCTGTCTATCTTTCACTAGGTCCGATGGTCACAGTCTGTCAAGTTTCTGGACATGAAACTGGAGGGAATCGTTGGAGACACATTGGTAGGGGCAGCGTCTGTTGCCTATCTGGGTGCATTCACTGCCCATTATCGCCACCTCCTGCTAGATACCTGGGTCAGCATGTGCAAAGATACGGAAGTGCCCGTTTCGAAAGACTTTGACCTCATCCGCAGTATGGTGGATGCTAATCAGGTGATTTGACATTGGTGTTTGTTCTATTGTAAATCCATTGTAAAAACATTTTGCTTTTTCGTAGGTTACTGTTTCAAATCTTTAAGAAAATCTAGGTTGTTAAAAACACTTTTTATTGATTTCTACCACTTTCTGTTGGATATGAATTTTTAGTATGGCAGTCCTGCCTTTTGAATAATCGTCTACTGGTATCTGTTGACAGGAGGGTAAAGGTATCTTTTTAATGCTTATTTTGCTTTTCTTATTGCAATGAAAAGCAGTAGAGTTGCATGAAAGGCAAATTTTGTTTGGTTTGAATTTTGCTATAAGAAAAGCAATCAGATGACACTTAAGTACAATTTTTTACTGGTGAAATCCAATAGACAAAAATGCTTCCAATGTTTGAGATTATTTGTTGAAAGAAAGTCAGAAAAGACTTATGCCTGGGTGCTGACTCATCAACACTTCCAAATAGAGAAAAGACAACAATGATGCATTTAGAGATTTGGAAAGATTTCATCCTTTCAAGCACAATATTTCAGATCTTATTTTATCAAATTTGCTCAGAGTATTTGGCACAGTACTTTAGAATAATGCTTATGTAAGGTCTAGAGAAAATGCTACTTTCAGAAATTGAGTCTTTTTCTGAATTCAGCGACTTTTTTTTCAATAATGAATTAGTGTTAAAGTATCTCAGGCAACAAATTTTTTCTGACAAATTTTGATAGAATTGCTGGTTATGTATCTGTGTTTACATAATAAAGGACAATAATGTGAAATGCCGACACCATTCTGAAATGAGATTTTATCTATAAAAATGTGTTTTCCATATTTTTAGGTCATGAAATGGCACAACAATGGACTCCCACGTGACAAACTGTCTACGGAAAATGCTACTTTTGTCAGTCGTGCTCGGAAATGGCCACTTTTTATTGATCCTCAGGGTCAGGCTGGCAGGTAATCTTGGATGTTGTTATTGTTGTTGTTGTTATCGATCCAGCAACAGCTGGGCTCTCGCCCTTCTGTCCAATTTCATGTAGTGATAAGTGCAGGTTTGCTGCTGTTGCTGTAATGTTCCATAGAGTGTGTTGTCAATGTTAAGTCTCGGAGGGAGAAGGGTAGTAATGTTGGATCTGATCAACTGTTTTGCCATGTTGAAAATTGTCTTGTTGTGTGGTTGTACCTGGCTTAACTTTTCCTATGATTTTTTAGCAGTTCTAGATCTAGTGAATATGAATGACCATTCAACGAGTTTGTAAATATGTGGTAGGATTTGTTTTTGTTTCAATGACAAATGTTGCTTTTGTTTGAGCATTGGCTACCCCTGAGCCTTAGCAGGGTGTATAGATGAAGATTTGCAATTCAAAAACTTTTGTGTGGCATCATGGTGAAATCAAAATATTGAAATCAAAGAAACCAATTTTTTTTTCTTCCTTTTATTTATTTTTCTTGGAAGGAGGGGGAGGGTGGGTTCTCTGCACCTTTTTATGTCCTCTGAAAATCATATTTCTGTGTGGATTTTACTGAAAAACATTGACCAAAGGCTAAAAAAATGTAAGCTTGTTGTTTCCAAGGACACTCAGGCTTTGGAAATCACCGATCTTTGGCAGCTATTTTCTCGCTAATTTGGACGAGCGCCTGTGTATGCCACACAATGATACGTTATTTTACACAGTCTGGTCTTAACGCAATGAGCTTTGTCTTTGTTCAGATGGATTCGTGAGAAGGAAGGCAGTAAACTGAAGACAGTGCTGGCGGTGGACACCAATTTGATGCGCACAATTGAGACTGCTATCAAAGTTGGTGATGCAGTCCTGCTCAAGGTGACTCTTGTTTTCTACTGAAGTGACTTTGAAATGATACATTATGCTGCAAGTTGAAGTAAGAGAAGGATCCAAAAGTCCAAACGTATTTTCGAAACCTTTCATACTGTGGAGACAATATTAACAGTCTAATAGGTAGTATTTTGGGCCAGCAGTCATAGGATCAGGGGCTTTATTCTCGTGTTTAATGACTATGACATTGGACTTTTTCTTATTTGCCTTAATTCATCCCTCTATAAATGATTGCATCACCATTGACAGAGAAGGAAAAAAGTCGGAATTTAGCAATACTGGCCTGACAGTCAGCAGTATGATATCCCCCCCCCCCCGCGGGGATTATGACATGGTTGAAATGAAAAGAACCAGCCAGTGGAATAAATACTGTGAATTTTTTTTTTTTTTTAATGTAGGTGTTTTTAGGTTCACATTGACACAATTTAGATAATTTGGGAGGCTGACTTTGACCTGGCCTGTCTGTGTCAACCCAGGCTGAGAAGGATACAACATCCAGCAGAAATATTAATAAACTCTATATAAAAATGTTCCCCACATGGGAATTGAACTCAAGTTTTCTGCCTCGGACGGCAAAGTGACTCAACAACAGCTACTGCACCACAGATGCACAGTGTGAAGTTAACACTTGTCCTGGACTTGTCGTTGGTATCCTTTCCCATCAGCGCTCAGTTTCAAGTGCACAAGATCAGTGCATCAGACCTCTGTGTTTTTTCCATTGCAAGCATCAAGATCAGTTTCTCAAAGTTCTGTATTAGCAAGCTCTATCTACCAGACTCCATGTTTTAAGTATGGTAAAAATGACGTAATACAAAAAAGGGGATTGTATACCTATGTGAAGTCTCTTGACATTTTCGTGGTAAATCAAGCATATTTTTGCAAATTGTATGATTTTGTGATTCACAATTAACTCATGTGTAATTCACAAGACTAGAATACCTATTTATATTTAATGAGCACTAAAATAAGTTGGATATTTGTCTTTTGTGAAAATGTTGAGTCCTTTTTGTTACACAGGATCTAGGTGAAGAGCTGGATCCAGCGCTGAGACCTGTGCTCTTACATGAAACTATCAGGAAAGGTGGACAAATGGTGATGAAGATTGGAGATGTGGAAATAGAATATAACCAGAACTTTAGGTGAGCTACGAAGTGGAAATAGAATATACCCAAAACTTTAGGTGAGCCGTGAAGTGGAAATAGAATATAACCAGAACTTTAGGTGAGCCATGAAGTGGAAATAGAATATAACCAGAACTTTAGGTGAGCCATAAAGACTGTGATGACCAAGATTTATTGTTGTTGTTGTCTGTCCAGAAGCTACACCCCCTTAGACACTCAGTTGTTAATGGTTAATGTACTAAGGTGCACTGCGGTCCATTACATTAAATCGTGAGTTTATCTGTTACACCTGTTTTCAACAGCCCCAGTTGAGTCACAGGGCCTTCCTTATTCCATCCTTCTATGCAGAGATAAAACCACCATGAATGCAATAATTATGATTTGTTGTTTTTAGAGAGATACGTCGATAATACCATTGCAACTTAATTAGAACATTTGAGAAATAAGATTGTATCGAACATAAAGTAGAAAAAGGGCAAGGATAAAACGATTGCTAAGCCATCTTCAAGGTAGGCAGGCTGGTATGCAGACATTAGGGATGCAGTTGAATGCAGAAAATAGGCCATCTTTTGCCGAAAACTGGAGTAAATGGGCCATGCTCAGCTTAAGATGTGGAGAACTCTTAAGTCATGAACTGAGTATTTCTCAACCCTTCCTGAATTTGAGTAGCTTTAGGCACTCCTTGTTACCCCGTAACTTTCAGTCTGTTTTGTTCATGTGTTAATAATTATTTCTCGACTAGTGTATGTTTTCTATTCACAGGCAACAAATGCTTGGGGATTTATGATTACGCTCTGTTCCACTGCTTGCAGAAGACATGAGTGCTATTCTCATGTGAAAAAAGTTGTTTGATTGAATATTTCCTGTTTACTGGGATCTTGTATTGTATCTCACTTAGCCTGGATTAGCTCTGATACGAAAGTTTAAAGCATCCAACATATTATCTAAACAGTGTCAATTGGGGTGTAAAACTTTACAATGTTACAAATTGTTCACAGGCTGTACCTGTCCACATCCTTGGCCAATCCTCATTACCTGCCGAGCATTTACCTGCAAGTGAACATCATCAACTTCACAGTCACGTTTGACGGGCTGCAAGAACAGTTGCTGTCTGCTGTGGTCCATCAGGTGGGGAAAATACCTTGCTGTGTGTGTGTGTGTGTGTGG